AAAACAATTTTGGAAAATACAATCAAGCATTCTTCAATCACACATTTATATATTGAAACCATTGGTGGTGGATGATAATAATGACGACAATAATGGTATAGAAAAGAAGAAAAAGATACTTAAATTATCAAATGATTTTGTAGTTGATGGGATTATAGAGAAATGGGCAGAAGAACAAAAATCTTGCAAAGAATGTTGTCAGATACTGAATGATAGTGTCGCTAGAAATATTTTACTTGTTTTGTAAACAATAATGATGATTATTAAAGAGCCATATTATAGAATTTATAGAAGAAAACATTATATAGGTATATATATATATGTATGTATGTATGTATGTATGTATGGGGGTCTTTCAATAGAAACGCGAGAGTAATTCTGGAAATAATGATTTTTTTATATTTCAAGGGATTTGCTATTGGTTTAAACTTGATGAAAAATATTGCTATGCAAAACGGGCAAACCAAAAATGTTCTATGTAAAGAATTATATAGGGGCGACATTAACTCAAAAATTGCGAGTTTCACGTGTTTCTATTGAAAAGCTCCCATATTTTGGGTTTTTTATTAGAATTTATTAGAATTTATTATTTACATTTTTTGATTATTAAATTGCAAATAGTTATTTATATATATATATATATATACGTGTGTGTATATGTGTATTTATCTATCCAGCAATACCATATTATTAAAAAAAACATTAAAGCAAAAGAAATATTATATATCTTGTTTTAACTAAATCAACTTTATATTATTTCTTTCCCTATCACCTTTTCTCCTCGTGAATATATCTCATAAGTCGAATTTATTATTATTTATTGCTAGGAGTTTTACCATCAGTAGTGGCTTTAATAATGGAAGCGCTATTATAAGTAGCAGCAGCAGGAGTAACGGTAGTGATGGGAGTGACTGGAATAATTGGAGTAATATTGGTTGATGAAGCAGTGACATTATAATCAACATCACCTCCTCCAGCAGCACCAGAACCAGAACCACCAGCACTACTACTAGTAGTAGTACCAAGTGTTGGATCAAAAGCAGAACTTTTCCATGTCATTTTTTGTTTTAATTTATCTTTTGATTGATCATTACCAATATCTTTAGTAGTAGAATGACATCGATAGTTTTGCATTACTTGTGTTTGAACAATTATCATTTGTTCTTCAAATCTTTCAACTAGTTGATGTGCTTGTTTGATGATCAAATCTTCTAGATTCTTTTTAAATTTCTTTTCAATTGATGGTAAAAAGATTTTGTATAATAAACTAATATATATATATATATATATTGGAAAAAAAAATTTTTAGAAATTTTTAAAAATTCAAAAGAAATGTTAAATAATAATATTTTTTTACTTGTGTTTAGTGTGATGAAATCTTAATTTGAATTCAGAAATACGAATATCATTTCGTTCAAGTTTGATAGAAATTGGTTTACTACCATCAGTAGGTAGAGTTAATATTGCTCTAAAATTAAGTTCTATGCCACCATCTTGTGGAATTGAGAAATCCAAATATCCAACCTATATTATATATATATATATATCGTAGGGTTGGAGGCGCGCTTATATTTTCTGATGAATAATAATAATAATAATAATAAAATTAAACTTACATCCTCAAATCTAAAGAATCCTTTTTTCTTTTTATAATGAAAAACAATATCATGAGCATCGACATGAAATTTAGAACTGTTGTAATTATGAATTATGATTTTAAAAGTTGTTTTTTAAATGAATTGAATTGTCAAGAAAAAAAACCCTATTATTATTATTATTACTTACATTTCAATCGAGATTAAATTACGAACCCTGTTCTCTTCTGGTCGATTTAATATTATAAACAAAATTTCCCAAAAATAAATGATTTGGCGATGAGCCAAGCTTTAAATCCTTTCCACCAACTTTCATATAACTCGAATTATTATCATTATTACTATCATTCGAATCATTCAAATTATCTTTTGGGTTATATTTACCATTATTATTACTATTATTATTATTATTTAATATATTTTCATCACTTTCTTGATCGTATTCATCATTTTGTTTTAATGGTGATCCATCATTTTGCTCTTGATTTTCCTCTTCCTTTTCCTTTTCATAATTAACATAATCATCATCGTCATCACCACCTTTTCCCTGTTGATCAATATTATTATTATCAATATCATAAACAAACCCCCAAACTTCAAATTCTTTTGGTGCACTTGTAACATCCATAGCTAACTTTTTAGTCACATGCTCATATGTTACTGCTGTAACAAATATTTTTCTACTCAATAATACAGCCAATTGACCTTTTTCTCCAGCAAAAGGCCAACACTGACCAACATGCATTTCAGGTTGAATAGCTGTTATTGGTGGTTTACCTCGTGTGATTCCATGACCAGTTACTGATGCGATAATTTGTTGAAACCATTTTGTAGGCCAAGTTTCATATGTTGGAGATGTCAACATACTTATGATCTTGGCACCACCTGATGAAAGAGCATAATCAGCTCTATTCAATTTATCCTGTGAATAATCATACAATTTCTCTTCTACTGATTTATGAATTTCATTTCTAATTAGATTAGCAATCACATCATCAACAACGTATCTTCGATAAGTTGTAATTTCGTGCTTAGCTTGTTGTGACGGCGGCGGTTTAATTCGTTTTTCCACTTCAGCAGCACATATATTTTTCACTTGTTCTTCAATTACAGCCCTAACCAATGAATCACTGTACTCAAAACCAACTTCATACTGATTTTGATGGTGATCGTCGTCATCATTAATGACAATATAGTTTCTATATTGTGAATCAAGGTCGGTGGTTTTGATTATCCAAAATGCACATTGATGATTTGAAAGTGAAAATTGACAAGTATAGCAATAACTTAAAAACAATACAATTGCTGGAAATATCCACCATTTGGAATTGTTCAAGTAGAATGCGAATGTTTTTATAAGAATTCTCTTGTTTAAAATTTTTCTACTATGATTCAAAAGAATTGCTAATATATTTTGAAAACTATTTTTTTTGATCCAATTTCTCCAACCATCGGAACCATCGTCGCTTTCATCAATTACATCATTACTTTCGTCATTAGCAACATCACTATTTAAACTACTGGACTGAATATCATTTAAAATTTTAGTATCTAGAGCTTTATCTAAAACTCGATCGTCCTGCATATCAATTATTTCATCATAATCATCATCGCCATCATTATTATCATTGCCTTTTTTAATGTCCAATGATGGTGTTGCAAAAAAATTCTTCAAACTTTTTTGAGAAAGTTGGCTTAAAAAAGAAGACATTTTTGATTTTGAATCTGCTATTGTTGTTTCTTCTTCTTCTACTCCTCCTTCACCTCCTCTGTCTTTTTCATCTTTTTCATCTTTTTTTTGACCAAGAAACATTCTATCAGAAGAAGATCCCGCATTATCATCTTCATAAGCAAAAAAATATGAACCAACTACTGTTGATTGTAATGATGATGGATATGTTGAATTTAGAGAAGAATTACAGAAACTACTACTTCCTGATTCATCATAATTTATATTATTCCTATTTAATTGGTTTGAATTAAAATCGCCAATAGAACTATTATTATTATTATCATCACCATCATCAAGTTTTTTAATAATATTATTATGATCAGTTTGAAAATCGTTTTTATTTTCAGTTGTTTCAGTTGTAGTTTGTAGCTGTCTTCTTGTTTCACATGCTGGTTTGGATATTTTACTCTCTTCAACATTATTATTTAATAGATTATTTTTAGTAGAAGAAGGTTCATCATAATTATTTTGTCTTGTTTTTCGCGTCGACATATTTGTTAAAATGAATGAACTGAATTGGTAAATATTAAAGACTGAAAATTTTAATATTATTGTTTACAGTATATGCAAATTAAGGATTAGATTGTTTTTTAAAAAGGAGTTGTCCACGTGACCAAAATTATCAACATATTCACGTGATGTTATTTTTGTTCGAAATTTTGGGATTTCATTATAACAGATGATAAAATTAATCAAATTAGTTTCTTCATTGTTATTCAAGCCTTATTGAAATTACAATAGATAAAATGATTTTAATTGATTAAAAAGGATAAAAAGTCCAAATGTTATGTTTAATTTCTTTATTCAGAGAAAATTTTGATTTGAATTTAATAACTCAATATTAAACTTTACAGTATCTGTATATGTTTATTAAAATAAATGACGAGTGATCAGCCTAGTTGATGTCACTATTGAAACTTTGTTGACCTTGTATCTAATCCCGTATTCTTCATTATTGTACATCTAGATATCACATTTTTTTCTCAGAATTGCTTAAAATTCTAGTTTCAAGAAATACCTTATAGGTTTGATATTACACAGCCGCACATAGTAAGGAATAAAGCCCCTTTGATAGTCGCTTCAACGAAAGAGTTTTTATTGGCAGCCAAAGGATGGAAAATTACATTATAACGAGTCTTCTGCAAAAGACTGAAGTTTTCTCAAGAAATCTTTGCATTGAAATCCTGAATCAATGAGATCCTTCATAGAAAAGATAATATGTATTTCACGGTAAATCAATGATGATGTTGTATGTGAACTAAGTGCTGAGCGTTTTGAAAAGATTCTTGTACAATCACAAATAATTTAACTCTACGTGTATCACGTGTCAATATTTAATTATAAAACGTGATGGATTTTTTTAATTTCCATCTTTTCAACTTTCTCTAGTATCAAATGTGAATAGTAGAAAATCACACAGATTCCTCTAATAGAGTAACGAATTTGAATTTCTTATTTCGGCCAACTCGCTTAACAAGAGCTGATGCCATGGTATGATTTTTGACTATATAAATTTTTTGTTTGGAGATACGAGTTAGTATGTCATATAAGCTTATCTCTATGTCCAGCAAAGAATAATACATAGGACTAGAGAAGAAATAAATTGATCTCGTAGCCCAATTTAATTTGACTAAAGAATGTGTTGCCAGTCAAATTCAAGGAAAAAAATGGCATCAACAACGTAAGTTATTTTTCCCATTTACTATTATAGTCAGTAACGGGTTTGTCGAATACACTGACTAATAGTAAGTAACCAACAGATAATTTTGAAGAAAACATCAAAATATTTATTATATTAAGTGATTATTAATAAAGGAATAATTGATAAATAATCCAAATAGACGAATAAACCTTTTACTGGTAAAATTCAAAATTAAGGATGTTTTTACAATTGTTGGAATATTATCTAAAAAAAAATTAAAATAAATAACTATTGCTAAACGCTTTATCTTGCTATTTATAATCATTTATGATTGTTAATTTTTCTTTCTGATAACTTGAAAAACTTCATATTCATTAGCAAAGAATATATAATTAGGACTAATTTTATTCTCGTATTTTCCTTTAATACATCTTCCTTCCCAATTTCTCTCATATTCATTGTAATATTCTGTTAGGATTAAATCGGATCCAAAACATGGTCCATATTTATTATATTGAAGTATAGCACTTTGTGTTTCAACCACTTTACTAAATATTGTATTATTTAATTCGTTGTGTCCGAGCGAGAAAATAAAACTTTTTTTCGTTTGATTAAATTTACCATTATCATCAGTTTCCCAATTCAATGGATTATAACCTCCAAGGATCTCACCTGAATTGTGTACTCTTAATATCGTGACAGTCGGACCTTTCAAATCACATTTTTCGTGAAATATTTTTGGTCCAAGTCCATCTCTACTACCCCTAACTAATAATTTAAATTCAAATGGTATGTTGTGTGGTTTAATGTCGTTGGGATTATTGTCATTTATAATCCAACCTGATATCAGTGCTAAATGTTTTAATGTTATAAGATTGGAATTGAAATCTGCATTGTTCAAATTTTGAAACAAAGTTGATATGGCAGTATCTTGTTGTGATAGATGAATCTCTAATATTTTATCATATAATTCCTCATCAAAAGCTTTTCTAAATGGTTCTACTTTATTTTTAAAATCTTTTGGATTAATAAATGCAAAATTTATCAGTAAAACGCAAGGTTTAATAATTTCACCAAACATCCTGAAATCTTTTGTTTTCCATTCTGGCGATAAAGGTGGTGGTGATAAAGTTGACGATACAGTCATTGAAGATGACAATGAATCCATTGATGACGAGATTAATGATGATTGATCACAGTGACGGCGATGGTGGTAGAATTGATTCAAACCCCATTCAACCAACTTCTCCCATAAACAAATTTCATTCACGAATAAATATTTTGATTTTAAAAGTGTGATTAATAAATCTTGATTAATTTTAACAAAATCTCTTGCTCCCTCAATTACATCATTACTTTCGTCATTAGCAACATCACTATTTAAACTACTGGACTGAATATCATTTAAAATTTTAGT